ATATATATATATATATATATATATATATATATACATGTCTAAGTATATATCTGTATATATATATAAATAAAATGTTAGGTTTTCATTATTGTGACCTTGTTTCTGGCCACATCCAGGATCTTTCTGCTCTAAACATACGTGCTAGAAAAGACGAATGTTACCACTGCTGAATAAAGATGGAGTTTAAGACTGTGCTTGTTTCCGAGTCGTGACTTTGCTCGGCTTTTTCCTCTTCTCCAGGTTTCCCCTTGGACATGTTGCGCTGCGAGAGCCTGCTGGGCCTGGACCAGGCCACTTGCAGCCGTGTCCTCAACAAAAACTACAAACTGCTGGTCTCGATGGCGCCTCTCAGCAACGAGATCAGACCCATCAGCAGCTGCACGCCTCAGGTACGAAGCTGCAGGTGGACAGAACAGAAGGGACGATTAGTATGCGGCTGTGCTTCGTCACATTGTTTGTGTGGAAGAGCTCGTTTTGTTTTAGGTGGTAGTTAAAGCGCGCGCGTGTGCGTTTGCCAGCTCGCCTAATGTACACACTCGTGTGCCCATGATTTGTGACTGCATGTGTGCGTGTGCATTTTGTGAGTTGTCAGCCTGCAGTTGCCCCACCAACAAGGCTGCACAGAGAGAGGAGAAGGGCGGGAGGCGAGGCTCATGAGTAATTCCTCTGCCTGGATATTTTCCAGCTTTCTAACTGAGCCCGCAGAGACGGAGCGAGGGAAGTTAAACTCTTGTTGTGCTGCTTATTCTCACACTGCTGCGACTCACTGAAGTGGAATCTGATGAAATTTTCTTGTTTTCCTCTCGAATCTCTCTTTACACAGCTGCTCCCATTTGTCTCTATTATTTTTCGGAACGTTTGATGAATGATTTTATGTGAGGACTGATAAAATAAAATGTGCCTATTTGTGTGTGTGTGTGTGTTTGTCCCTGCAGCACATTGGCCCAGCCATCCCTGAGGTGAGCTCCATCTGGTTCAAGCTGTACCTGTACCATGTGACCGGCCAAGGCCCGCCGTCTCTGCTGCTCTCCAAGGGCTCCAGGCTTCGAAAACTGCCGGACATTTTCCAGGTGAGCCTGGTTAATAATTGATCAGTCAGGGGAGGTGAGATTGGTGTCTTCTAAGCAAAATGTCAGATAAAAAAATTGGTATGTTTAAACAGTGGCAGGTCTGTGGAGCAGTTTATGTTTTCAATCCTCTGAGTCACAGGCAGGTAGTCAGAGTCTGGCTGCCTCCTTTGTCCTCCTCAACCTTCATTTCCTAACAAAATACCAGGTTCCGCACCGCTTTATGTCATTGTGCACTTACCCTTCAATGTTGTTTCTTGAAATTTGATCTTGAGAATGTGAGACAGGAGAAAAAGAGAAAATGGTCCAGGAAGTGGATCACCTGTGAAATGCAAATGGATGACATAATGGGAGCATAGAATAAAAAATAAAATAAAATAGAAAATTAACTTCTCTTTCGGGCTTTAGAAATGGTGTTTCTACAACACATTTTTAGAATTGAAAATCAGGAACCAAAGAGAAGCTTTGAAAATATTGTATCTGTCTGAAGCAGAATCAGTGGTAGGTTGACAAAAACAAAATGGCTGCCGACTAACTTTACAAAATTCAGCGTAATTCAGTCAGTCTGACAGATATCGTGCTTAAATTTGGTTTGGTCACATCTTAAAATCCTTCATAACACATACTCGAAGTGTTTGATTAAAGCTTTGCATTTGCTATTGGAATCGACCCTGTTTGTCTGTCAGCAAAATATTCCGTTGAACAGGTTTTAATAAAACTTTCAGAAAGTTATGATTGTATTTTCATCATTCAAGATGTCTGCCACAGCTAATCAACCATAGTCAACACAAAAATGATAACAACTGAGTCCAGTAAAATTTGATGTGGTAGTAGCTGAGAGTCATTCAGAACACAAACTCTGAGTGTGACATCACACAGTGTTGCATTAAATCATGTTTATGTTAGTTTCAAGGAATTTTAAGGCTTTAGTTATTTAAAAAACTGTGCTACCAAAACAAGTTGTCACAAATGACTGTAAATGATTATTTATTTTTCTCTCTTTAGGTCTATGACAGGCTGCTGATTACCTCTTGGGGTCATGACCCCGGAGTCGTCCCTACATCCAACGTGCTGACTATGCTGAACGACGCCCTCACACACTCTGCAGTTCTCATCCAGGTACACCCAAATAAGATTTACCCCGAGCGATTCCAGCTCAACTTAAGCCCAGTTTGGACAGATTTCTAATAATGAGGGCAGCTGGGGGCTGAAGTATTTCCTCTGATCCTTCAGAATTTTAATTTAAAACTTTCTTTTTTCTTTGAAAGGAGTTGATTTGACGAACCTTGAGCGTTGTCTAATACAGTTTTATTTTCAATCAGACAATCTGAGTGATTGCAGATCAATTTTCATATATAGTTGGGACGAGGCTTCACAGCATTTATTAATAAACAGTATTTACAGTGTATTTTAGAAACTGTGTGTGTGTGTGTGTGTAACACTTAGGGGCACGGGATGCACGGTCACGGTGAAACTGTTCATATCCCGTTTCCTTTTGACGAGGAGGATCTGAAGGGAGGTAAGAGACATCCAGATTGATAGTTTTAAACTCAGTTACATGGTGCATCTTTTAATATGTCCTGACTCTAAATAATACACAAAAATCGCACATTTTGTCTACTTTTGACAGCGTTTTAAAACAACAAAGCATCTTTAAGAGTTTTGAATCACACTTATAAAGCTGGAAAGTGAACTCAATATGTTTTAAAATGGGTGGTTATGTTGTATAGGATGAGACATGATGAAAAAAGACCAAATGAAAGCTATATTTCTGTCAAATATGAAATTACTATACTTTCCGCCGTACACCACCATATAAGTCACATCAGTCCAAATATGTCTAATAAAGTGGGGAAAAAAACATAAATAAATCTCTTCGCCTTATAAGTCATATCTATTATGCATCACAGCTGACAACCCGGAAATGTGGGTCGTTGTACCAAAAATCGATTGGCTGCCAAATGGCGGCCCGGGAGCATGCACGAGGGGACTTTAACAAGAATCTAACAAGATTAACACTTAAAAACAATTATTTGTTTGCTTGAAATTATATCAAAGGTTTGTCTCAGTTGAACTTTTCCTTAATAAATGCACTTTCATGGTCAAATCAGCTGCATTTCGCCTGGGCGGCGCGACGAAATGCAGCTGATTTGACATTTGCTCCAAGAGTTCTGGAGCGAGACGATGGTGGCTTTGTATGGCAAGCCAAGTGTCTCATTAATAGCCACTTTTCTCTATTAATGACACTTGACTTGCCATAATAGTCAAGCGCCCTCTAGCAGCTGCAAATGGTAGTGTTTAATATTTTTCATGTCAAAATGAATGAAATCGTCAAATCTCAGCCAAAAATTGGGTTATAAATATGGAGAAATGTTTTTATTTTAGTTGCTTGGGTGTGTAATAAGTCGCAGGATGTGCAGATTTACGCAAAAAGGTGCGACTTGTATGGCGAAAATACATTAATCATTAAATGAAAGTAAAAAAAGCTCATAAAGCCTATTTGAAGACAACACAATACAGCCCAACCTTCTGTTAAGATATTTTTATCTAGATTGGTCCTATGGTTTTGATCTGCTCATGGACGGGATTATAATAAAATTATGACCCGGTTCTGACTGGGTTAAACTGGACCAGCAACTCTAAAAAGAGTCTCCCTGGGATTCAACATCTGTCAAGAAATAGAGTTTAATCTGCTTGCCACATCACGTAGAAAGGCCTTTGAAGCACCGTCTCATATTCCCTAACACATCAGAACCACATAAGATCCATTGAGATCACACTTAGTCACGCCCCCTCATACACTGACAGGTTGAGCTCCCCTTCTGCGAAGGAGGAGTCTAGGACCCTATAAATGAGTAATGACATGGGACATCGGGGCTTTTCCAGGTTTGTGAACGCGTCACAGACCAGAGAGACCAGCGCTGTAAACTGTAACCTTTTCCTGCCTTGATTTTAATATAATTGATTAAACTTAATTGACGTTTCCTTGATTTATTGATAATGAGAGTTGCCCCTTTTGAGGGAAATTTGAGCCGGGGGGAAAGACGTGGGCTGGAGGGGGTTTCCGGGTCCGGTGACCCGCAGCCAGCTCCCGTCTTTAACACTTCTATTTACCTTTTTAAATAGTATAGAAGCAAAAAATAAATAAATGGTTTAAAATATGGTTCATTTATTATCCATTCACATTTTTTGCTGATCATCTGCAGCTTGGTTATTTCAACAGCTGGATGAATGAGAAATAGGGCTGCAGCTCAGATGCCAGCACCATTTTCCAGCTCCTTCATGCTTGTTTAACCCAGATGAGATGTTTAATCTCTCCTGCGTGTTCTGGGTCCAACCCAGTGTCTTCTACCTGCCAGACGAGCCCAAAACGTCTCCAGAGAACGGCACCCGGAAATAATTATGATCAAATGCACG